TTATATCTATTTTGTTAAAAGAAAAAAGATATGAATAGTCAAATAAGTTGATTAAATTTTCCAAGCTTTCCCATCTAGAAACTAGTGGAGATAGAATTCAGACTGAAGTTCTCTGATTTGATATTTTATACCCTTGCTGACATGCTTTAAGTGTGTATGATATTAAAAAAAGTTGGGGCACCTAGGTGGCTCAGTCGTTAAGCATCTGCCTTCGGCGCAGGTCATGATCCCAGCGTCCTGGGATCGAGCCCCGCATCCGGCTCCCCGCTCAGCGGGAAGCCTGCTTCTCCCTCTCCCACTCCCCCTGCTTGTGTTTCCCCTCTCGCTGTGTCTCTCTCTGTCAAATAAATAAATAAAAAATCTTTAAAAAAAAAAAAGAGAAAAGTCTAGCTCTTTATTTGCTGTGGAAAATATGTGATTTATATGTATGGATTCATCCAAGATGGATTCATCTTGTAATGCCTGCTATTTCTACATCTTCCAGAATATGTAAAGCTGAGGTTTATAACCACTATTACTGGAATACTTGAAAAATTAAATTTATATACTTGAAATCAAGGCAGTTTTTCTGAGGTACTTTAGATTAGTAATTTCATTTTTATATGAGAGTTTTGAGGTCCAAGAAGAAAATATGCACATCCACATAAACTAACCTAGTTTTCTGGAGATCAAGATTACTTTAACTATGCCCTTCATCACATATGGAAGCTATATCATTGGTGAGCTATATTAAGGCATGGGCTTTGAGTTGATATTTTTTGATTTCTTGTAATGGATGGATTTATTTATTTTTTAATAAGATTTATTTATTCATTTGACAGAGAGAGAGAAAGAACTTGAGTGGGAGGGGCAGAGAGAAGGGGAGAGAGAATCCCAAGCAGACCCCACGCTGAGCATGGAGCCCAACGTGGAGCTCTATCTCATGACCCTGAGATCATGACCTGAGCGGAAACCAGGAGTTGGACATTTAACTGACTTCACCACCCAGGTGTCCCGTAATGGATGGATTTATATCAGTTTATCCACATTCACTTATTTAATTGCTATTGTGACAAATACCATGGATTTTCATATGATTGACCAACAGTCTTATGAAATAAGTGAAGAAATTAAGATTGATCCTTGATTCTTATCTTCTTTAAAGGTATGAAAAACAATGCATATGTTCTTAGAAAATGCCCTGGGATCAAGAGTTTTCTCATCATTGATCTATTCTCGGATGAACAGAGGAGAAATTTAGCAAGAGAAATAACAGCATGGTGATCTCAGCAATATATACTTTAATCCTTGCCAATTTTTTTTGTTCGATTGTTCTCAGAGCAAATTGAAGGTTGCATTTTATTTTTAGGATCATAAGTGTGTCATTCATTACCTGCTAACTTTTTCTGCAGCGTGATGCCTCACAGAGATAAAGTCAGATTGATTGTGGCATTGTTTCAGAATATAGAGATGTTGTAACATTTTGCTATTCTCAATGCAGACATCCAAGCAAGAAGCAAAATGATATGTCCAAGTCTGTACTGGTGGTTGTGATTGAAATATTTCCATATTGTAGCAAGAGTGAGGATAGTTTATAAAAGTGGGGTCTACCTATAAGTTGTTTGGCAACTCAGATAATTTACCATTATCCTGTGATGCCACCACACAATAATCTGTGAGATAGTTCAGGATATGTAGTGTATTTTGATTCTATTTTAGAGGGTGGAAAATGAAGTATGAGATTTTGAACCAGTTATGAAAAGTCATTGAATCCTGTCTCCTAGGTTAATGTATTTTTATTTCTCTACTCTTGCCAGCCTCTCTAAATGATTTCCTCAGTAGGTTAATTCTGAAGTTAATATCCCAGGAGACTACAGTCCAGTCCCTTGTCTTTCTGAAGAATCAAAGTAAATGGGCAGAATTTTATCTATGAGATTTTTGACTTTTTAATAAAAATGAAATTTGTATTTAATTACAGAAGCTAGGAGTATTCTGGCAGGAGGTAGCCTGAGTCTAATGGGTCCTAGGTTTTTAGTACAAGTTCCCCCTTCTCCTGTGTTTAAGTTTTAATAAGTTCTGACTACTTTTCACTTTCCTTGAAAATTAAAAAAAGGAACTTTCTCTCTTCAGAGACTCTTGCTGTGGAGCTGTTTTGGTTCCAAAGGAATGTTGCCTATTGTGACAAGTGAAACTAATGTCAGGCAAATTTTCCATAGGCTTTAAATCCTGTTTTGTATTTGTTCTATAATATTCAGTTAAAAATAGTCACTTGGAAAATCTAGAAGGCTGGAAAGATGAATTTACAGAATGGGCATTATTTCCCAAATTGGCTTTTGGAGGTTGTCTTTTTTACACTAGAAGTAGCAAGGGCCAGATTACAGTAGTGCCTAAAGCCAACCTGTTCCAACAGGCTTCATCTTCCTTTGTACAAATTTAGAAAGAATGGATCCTCATGCAAGCATTTCAAATCCAGAGACAAATTTGAAAAAAATTGCTACAACATGTTGACTGATTTCTTGCCAAGTCAGCCACTGAGAACTTTTACTTGACCGACTCTTACAAAGAGAAAATTAAAGGGGTGGGGGCGAAGCACATAACTTTGTTATTAAAAAATTAAACTTTGCAATACCCTAAATCCGTCTTCCTTTTAACACTTTTCTCTGCTACTTTTAACCCCGTTCTCTTCTTCACTCTTCTCCCTCTTCTGCTTTTCCCTTTTCTCTGTCTTCTAATCATTCTCTGTAATACACGCTGTTGCTCTAATGTATTCATTTTTACTTTTAGCATTGATTCAGTGATATGTTCTGGAGAAATAGCTTTCGAAAGATTGTATTCAGATACACAGATTCAAACCAGCAGAAAGGTTAAGAACATTTTAAAAATATGCTTGTCAGCAGTGGAAAGAAAGCTGTTTGTAGCCAGCAGGTGAGCTGGAGAGTACTACAGGGTGTGGTAGAGATAGTAATAAATTAACTGGCAAGCCAAAAACTATAAAAAAAAAATCAGCTATTTCATAGCATAGAAGCATGACAGCTATGAATAAAGGAGTGCCCCAGGGAATTCTTTTAGAGTTTGATTTTTTTAAATATGTTTGACATGAAAAATGTTTTAGTACAAATAAAGCAACTGGTATTAAACTTACAGAGAGGGGGGTTGTGGTTTAGAGTTAGCATGAATAATGCATGATATTTAAAGAAAGAACAGCTCTAAAATGTTCCGGGAGGCAGTCCATGTTGATGGTTGGAATGGTGATTTTTTTCCCCTATTTTTGAAGCATCATTAATTCAGTATCGTTTTGTGATTTTTTTTAACCTGATAAGATATCAACCAAAGAAATACTATTTGACTTAGATTAGGATATTCTTTCTTCAGATAATTTAGTTTAAATATCAAGAAGATCAGCCGAATTATTTAAGCATAAAGCGACAGTCATTTACTATAAAAAATAATTTGGCCTAGTTATCCTTTTTAAAAAAGCTCATGTAGCCCTGCAAACCAAAATCAACCTCATGGAAGGGGAGAAACAAGATCAGATATTTTGAACATTACTCCATAGGAGACCAGCACAATCTAGTGTTAGTGAATGCATTGTCGCAGTGCTCCATATGCAATCAGAAGCCAATTGTTACTGGACTGTGTACAAGCACACACTGTGCTCAATGGTCTGATGAGGTATTATGGATATGATGCAAAGGGACTGTGTCGATTAGAAGCTAACAATTTGTTAAAAGTGAAAGCAACTTAACATTTACATTGGGCCCGCTGAGGCGCACTTGGTGTGGCAAGTAGGATGAGCTCCAGGAAAGGGGCGGGGGGCACCACGAAGGCTCCAGGTATTAGTGTCCGCGCAGGAAAAAAAAGAGATTTTATTGCTTTCCATTTGGCTACCTTTATTGCTGTGATTCTTTCTACACTGTCTCTTCATTATTACATTCAGCTTTCAGTGTAGAAAAGTTCATGCAAAACAGCATGATTATTATAAATGTCAAAAATGTGTGGAGGAACAGCCTATTAAAATATAGCCTAGAGATAGTACATAACACTGACTTTAAATAAGTAGCTGCAGCCAAAGTGATACTCCATTAAATCACTGATATTGTGTAATTTATCCACGAGTATTAATTTTGATTTCAGTCACCACTATCACAATACGTTCCTCATGACTTTCTCCTGGTTCTTCACGTCGCCGCACACAGCCTGTGTTCTCAGGTCACAGAAGGTTCTCCATTCCCCTGTTTAGGAGTGGCACGGAGGCAGACGTGAAGATGTGGTGTTGATCTCTGCTGAAGCATGCTCAATCTCTATCAGACTTGTAATGCAGATATCCCATGTAAAATGTGTGGCTATTTAATCAAAGCATTATCGAAGAATAAGTGAGAAGTGCCTCGTGTGCATGATTCTGTACTCGGTTCCACCAGAAATTAATCCAGAAAACTGTGGTTTCCACTCTCGCAGAGATACCAGGCATTTCACAGAATGTGGGCAGATAAGATTAGCTTCCTTCTGGCCCCTATCAAATTGAAGAGGTTGCATTTTTAAAATTTTTTCTTTATTTTTTATAAAAGAAAGTTTAGGGTTATGGACAGTCAATAGCTCATAATCTTTTTTGGACTCTAATACTCTGCTTTGCCTACCAAGCCAAAACTTTTTGTTATTTCAACATAAAAACCTTAATACTTTCTCAGTGAACTGAGTGTCAGCCTGGCTTTAAGGTATTTTTTTTTTACTCTTAAAAAAATGATGTATTACAAGATTTGTAATGGAGTGAACATGCTTGAATTGCACATTTAATTTTTTTAACATCACATTCATGTTTTGCCAGTTTGCCTACCAGCTATCTGTTAACAAAAAGTTCCAAGGCGGCACTGCAAGTCTATGCCCAACTAAGCCTTTTGTTTCTGCAGATGTTTGGGCTTAGAGCAATGTTGTAAAGCTCAGGCAATCCAAGGACCATGTTTGTACTTGTCTGCTGCGATTCCCTGTGCATTGTCTAAACCTGTATGCATTGTTCTTTCCGACAGGTGATAACTACCCTGTGCAGTTCATTTCGTCAACAATGGCAGCTGCTGCTACTTCTGGACTCAGCCCTTTGCAGCTCCAGGTAAGTGCCAGAAGAAAAAAATGTGGGATACCAGCCAGTTCTTTAGCGGAAAACTGCTAACCAGCTGTATGCTAAATAATGGCCTGAATGTTAAATAATTTTTAAGCATAGCCTAGAAGGATTAACACCTTGTGTACTTACCATACAGAAAATAGAAGAGAAAACTGCCAATTTCAGTATTTTTAAAGGCAAAATGATAGTATGGCTTAGAACTCTATATTTTCTATGAAGTGAGTTAATGGTTCTACAGTTTTGTTTGTTTTTTATCGCTGGCTGCCGCTATTGGATATGGTAGCTTTTTCCTTATCTGTTTTCCATCCACGTCTCCATTTATGTCCAGATGATCTTTTACACATAAACATCAAAACAGAAAACAATGTTGGGCATTTTCCTTCTTGCAGCTTATAGACTAGGGGCTGTTATCACCAGATTACCTCAACTGTTTGGTAAAATGTCAACATATTGCTCTGGAATATGTGTACCCTCATTCTCATCTTTAGCTTCACGCCAAGCCAAAAGTCTGGGCATGGCATCCCACCACATTCGGGGTTAGGGTTCTGTACTTACAATGTGAAACTGGGGGAGAAAGTGTTTTGGAAGCTGGACAAAAAAATCATTGGTACCTTATCTTCTTCACAGTCAAGTGAGGGGTTTACAATAGGCCAGGTGATCTTTATACCCTCCTAGCACTGCCATTTTAGGGGGAAATTGACTTTTAATGTGAATATACATTTTAACAAAAACAAAAAGATAATATCATTAAAATAATGGTAAAACCTTCAGTATTTGAACAGTTATAAAGTATGTGGTAGTGAAGAACTTGAATTTCAACACAGTGGGAAGTATAAAGATAGTCTTTTATTCTTATAATTTACTGTGATTATTTTTGAGTTTTCTTACAAGGGAATAGCATCTGGCTAGGCATTTTTTTTCTTCTTTGCTATTCCCTCTATGGCTTGAATATAAGAAATGTGCAGATATTTTGCCATGAAAAAACAGCACTGTGATCCTTTTCATTTGGGTCTGCAAATAAATAATTTTTGCAGTACTCTGAGTTTTTGTCATAAGCCTCAACTGGAAAGCCGGGATGATGTTACCGACTATGGACTGCCTAGCAGAGCTAGACATTTTGCCTAATGGGGCAACAACCCTACCTCTCTTCCAAAACTTCACCTTCCCCACTGCTAACACTGGAACTCACCGCAGTTGGAAAAAATCTAAAAAGAAACCTCCCTCATGATAAACCTAATCTGTGCCTCCTTTCCCATATAGCTATGCTAGAGTGTCTTCTCCAGTCAGAGGCAGAAGTATGAAACCAGTACCATTGCTTGATCCTATAACCAAGTTTCTATGAAAGACAGTGTCTGGGTCCTCAGCCTTCTACTTTCTATTCTTTGATGTGGTCAGTACCCTGGATTTAGAAATACGTGTTCTGTTTCATGAGTTCTGACAGTATGTTTTGTCTTTTTTTTTTTTTTTCTGAATATGCTACTAAACAGAAGGGTCATGTCTCCCACCCACAAATTAACCCAAGGCTAAAGGGCCTAAGTGACCGTTTTGGCAGGAGTTTGGACACCTTTGAACATGGTGGTGGCCACTCTTACAACCACAAACAGATTGAGGTATGAATGCTTCCATTGATGCTTCATTGGGTGGGGGACTGGATTGTTCAGTCATATTCTAGGCTTTTTTTTTTTTCTTAAAGTGGCAAACACTCGACATAAACACTAAAATGTGACCTTTCCCTTTTTCTCATTCCTAAGGAGGCTCATTTTTGCTCCTTTTCTTTCACAGAAGGAGGCAAGCCCCAAACCAATGCCCCCAATGACTTAGGTTGTTTACTGCTATATATTTAGGCAAATTCTTTACAGGTATCTTCAGAACCATCCCTTTTCCCCTTACCCTTTTACTCCTTTTTGTGTATAGTGCTGTACAATGTTTATAAACACTTAAACATTTTTTAAAAACTCTCATTTGTCCATATAACAACCCTGCAAAGTTGATCAAATATAATCCCGCTTACATGGACAAAACAGTGGCGGTTCAGAGAGGCCGAGGCTGCACAATATTCCCAGAGTCAGAGTTAGTACTCAGGATTTCTAACGGTCTGATTCAGGTTTCTGAATCTTGTTTTCTCTGGCTGAGGGAGGGCCGGGTGCCTGGGCCTGACTGGTTGCTTTTTTGCCCCATGAATGTCTGTAGTATCCCTTTCATATTTAACTTCCAATAAAGCTCTTTTTTGTTTTTGTGGGATATTCTTACCACTTGGGAGAAGATGGCTTTATGGGTCTTTTGAAAACCAAGCCCTTTTCTTCTATAGGGGTCTAGAACTCGTCTCTGTAATTTCATGTTTGATTTCTCTCTCATATCACTGGAGTCCCTCTCCAGGATTATCAGCTACTGAAGGGCTGCCAGCTATTTGTTGAATCACCAATAAATAAATAAATAAATAAATAAATAAATAAATAAATGGAGACAGGCTACCTCAGACTGAAACACACTTTAACTTTCTGGATTAGATCTAATACTAAATGTTATGTTCTAACCTACGATGGGAAACTCAACTGAAAAAAAAAAAAGAAAAGAAAATAATTACATCAAGCAAAGCTATATATTCAGATCCTATTGGCTCTGGCAGTCTATACATATCAAATACTGTATAATCAATAGAGTATCCCTTTAATTTATCTTTTCTGCTGCTTTTAAAACTGTATTTTTGAAAAATAATAGAGAAAGCTCACTCATAAGAAGAAAAAAGAGGATAAGATCAAAATCCACCTTGGAAGTAGCCTAAGGAAGAGTTCCAGAGCTTGCTGCCTGCCTCCCTCTTCCCCTGTCACTTTGATATAAGTTATATGGGGGCTTCCCACCCAGACATGACCAGGCATATACTGTCAGAGTATCTTCTAGACAGCAAGAAGGGATTTCTTTCATAAGGCTTTCTTTTGGCTGCAGAGAAGGTACCATATTTCTGGACATTCTGAAGATCTGCCATACCTAGGATTGCTAAAATGTAGAAATAACAGAAATAACTGCATATGGGGAACAAGACTTCCTTTGTGATGCCAGTTAGCAAGCTTCAGGCTCAGGACAGATAGTTTGTTAAATGTTTAAGTGCTTGGACAAATGTGAAAGCAGGTGGTCTTGGCTCAGATTCAAGACTTCCTCTCTTTTATTTTCTCTTGAGGTGTTGAGATCTACCCCATCCACCTTTCTCCATCAGCAGTTTTTTACCCAATTGCTTCTTTGACTAATTTTTTCACTTAGGTTGACTTCTCTCCCTGCCACCAGCATGGATCCCTGATGCTGCCAAATCTGGCTTCTGTTGGGTTTCTGGAAACTATGATGTCATCTTGGGGAGTGCCAGATCTGTGTAGTTCTGTAGCAGTGCTGATCTAGAAGCACAGCATATGCCACATGTCTATCACTCGCATTAGGATAAATAGAGAACCAGTTAGTGAGGGAACTCTTAGATTTTGCGGTTTAAGTTTGGGCCTATTTGAAAGTTTCCTGGGTTTTTGTTAATTCTCGCTCTGTTTTCTTGCTTTCATTTTTCGCACCTTTTTTTTTTTTTTTTCTGCATGTCAAGAAACCTTTGCTCTGTTTGCTTATATGGTACACTGGTTAGAAAAGATTGACCTTGTTTGAAAGGCAGGTTTCCCAAACTTTCCTGGTATGAGCATCCCATGTTTATGGGGATGTCCATGAAAGCACAGTAGACATAGATGTCTGAGCTACTACAGACACTCACATTTGAAATTGTAAGCGAAAGTAGAGAGAAAATTTAATAATATCTTGCTTTATTGATATTAAAGTCTGCTCTCTTTTCTAAATCTTCCCTCCTTTGACAAGCTAAAATGTCACAGCTCTGTTAACAATCACGATCGTGATAGATTGTTGATACTAAGGAAGCATTACAATTATGTTAACTGATTTTATTTCTAAACAGAGATTCTCAGGAAGAAAAGCCCACAACATGTACATGCCCCCATCGCCCTGCCTCCCCACCTTCATATACACCTGGCTGCATTGCTCAGAACTCGTCCTTCTTACCTGATGTTACAATTCATTTGTTCTTCAAAGGTTGTGACTTCTAACATTAATGAGCCTGGATAAATCTTAACAGCATTTATAGTTCTACCCTGAAAGGCCGAAATTTTGTTATCAAGTAGAAAAAAAAAGGTATTTAAAGTACAAAGACCCTTCTTACATTAGCATCTTCCAGTTCTTTCTTTCTTTAAAATAAGCAAGATACAGGAAAGCCTTGGTACTCTGTGCTGATCTAAGGCATGGTTTTCTCTGCCTCAGGGGCACAATATTAGGGGAGAGAAGGCCGAAGAATGCTATTTTTAGTTGAACAGTTCAGCAGATGGAGGCATGAATACTCATATATCTGAAGGTTGAGGGGCTTGAACCATTAATTTTGATAATGTATTTAACCCTGGGAACAATCAGAAACTATAACTCTAAGATTACAGTGCTTTTGACCTTTAGAGAACAGAGGGCACTTGCTATAGTAAACAATATATTATATTGCTACTTATTCCAATTCTCTACCTGTATAAATTTCAGGACCAGTTGCCATTTGCTTTCCTCAGCTATGTTAGCATTGGTCCTTCAAGTACATCAGAAAGAATGTTAAGGAAGGGGGACCAGTATAATGAGGCAGTCATATAAATATGGCCTTTTAGTAGCTAAGATGTTAAATTGTTTCTGAAGAAATACTGTCTCAGAAACTAAGCTCTGAGTAACTTCTTTCTTTTTTTAAATGAAAAAGTAGCTTCAATGTATTAATTCATTTTATGTGGTGACTTTCAACATAATAGACCCTTAAAAGTAATTTTGTTTTGCTTTGTTTTGTTTGTAATTGGAAGTGATATTGCTTCATAGATGTACCTTATATTAAATACAATCTGGTACCATAGCATGCAAAGTGATACACCTGTCTCATGCTTTCTTATTAAATGATGCATGCTTCTCTTTAGCAAATACAGCAGTTAAATATCACACAGCTTAAGAATTTCTAATTAAAATATCTCCACATGTCAGCATATTGGTAATGTATTATTTTAATCCATTTATTTTGTTTATGAAACAGTGACATATGTTTAGATTGTGAAATATATGAGCCTTAAAAATCACTTTATTGAAGAAAATTAATTCCTACAATACTGTCTCAGTAATGTGTTCACTCACCCAGTCAGTCACTGGCGGCACTGCCAGTCTTAATGTTGGGTAGACACACTTACCAGTTTTATCTGCATAACAGTCTTGGAAAGAAGCAATAGCAGTTCTTTTTCTTAGTGCCAAATGATAGAGTTTTTCTTTCCTTCCTTTTTTTTCTTTCTTTCTCATTAATTCAAACCTGCCCCCCCCAAACACTTTTTGTGGCTTTTTTTTTTTAATACAATGAGGCATGGGATTGAGTATATGTACAGGAGATTCTGAAAGACAAATCAAAATTAAAAACAAGCTAGTTACCTTTTCAAAGTTAGACGTAGTAATTTGTTTGTCAGCAGGGAGATATTTGGGTCAGCCCTGAGATAAAGTGACTGTCAGCAGTTATTCCTACAAGACAAGTAATTTCACTCAATGTATTACTGACAGATTGCTCACTTCTCTGAATCACCAGAGAAAACAAACTTAATATTGTTACAGGCAGAGTTTCTGTCTTCATTAGCCTCAGAGAATGATTTTTATCGAGCATTCAAAGCCTACCAAGCTTTAGTTGGAACATATTTTAACAGACAAGTTCTTATAATGATAGTATGGATAGTAGCTAAAATGAAAGGGATTAAATATGAAAATTTTTAAATATCAATATAAGTAGATTTTTCACCTTTATTTGATGGCCACTATGTGTACTTTAGGGGACACTTGAGGAAAGGAGTATGATTAGAGCCTTAAAACACTAGGAAAACCTATCAATCATAAGTTACTCTTAAATGAAACTATTAAAGTCTTGCCAAGTTTGCAAAGATGGAGGAGAACAATTGAAATTTTTGCAGAAGTAAATGCAAACACATATTTTATTTAAATGATATTGTCAATTTTCATGCTACAAATGGAAAGTGAAGAAGTACCCATCAACATTGAGAGTGCTCTAATTCTATTTCATTTCCAGCCTGAATCTTTATGATATTGTATTTAGATGCTCTTCTCTGGCTCATACCCTGTTTTCTTGTTCACAGTTGTAAACATGAGGGGGAATGAGAGGGTGAGTTAGGTTTTGCTGGGTAGGCTGGGGAGGGGGAATGAGAGGGTGAGTTAGGTTTTGCTGGGTAGGCTGGGGAGGTTATCATTTCTAATAGCGAGTTGAATAAAGAGTTGATTAGAGTGACCTATTACTAGCTACCCAATGGAGAAAAAGGAATGCACTGATTCAAAGCTTGTTTTGAGGATGCACCATGGAGCTGTGCTTTGAGGAGAAATGCTTTCTTTTCCCTTAATCAGCCTTCTCTCATCCCTTTTGACTGTAAGAGTGTGATGGAACTTGGGAGTACCATTACAACTGAGATTAGATGAGCTGTGGACTAATGAACTCCACTTTGGAATCAGAATCTTGGATTAGAGTTTCCCCCGTTACTTGCCATGTTGTCCTATAGTGTTCTCAGATTACCTT